TTTTTTTTTTCCTTTTGTTTTTGTTTTGTAAAGGAGGGATGATGGTATTAGCTACGCCAGGGAGCTGATATCAACAATAATAATACTTAATATTTATCAGCCATATACAGTACAAAACACTTTCTAAGTTTTGTATGTGATTATCTCATTTAATGTTCACAATATCTCACTGAGTTGGATGCAGTTATTATCCCCATTTTATACACATGAAGAAACTGAAGTTTAGAGGAATCATGTTCGTGTTGAAGGCAGAATTTGAATCCAGGCCCTCTGACTTCAGGGGCTTGCTGTGAACCACTACATACAGTGTGAATTAATTGATATAATGAATGTAACATGCTTAGCTTAGTGACTGAAATACAATAAAAGCTCAATAAAGTTTTGATATAATTAATGTTAAAATAGCATTCATGAGTTTAATAGTATTTTAAAGAACAGTAGGACTATTAAATGATTAGAGTGCAAGATTTCACTTTGTTAATCATAAGTTAATAAACTCTTTGAGGGCAGACACTGAGATTCACTTATTTTTGTAGCTTCAGATTCTAGTGAAGCATTTATATAGCAAAGATGCTATATGAGTATCTGTTTAATGAAGAAAAATTCTACTTTGAATCATAAGTACTACAAAGAAAAGCTGACTCAAGACACAAAAAGATATCTAGAACACAGATTGATGTCACCTTTTGGTCTTCTATAACTACAGATATATTTCTTATTACTGGCAAGTCCTCATAAGACTCAAATCTTTAGGCAATATAAAATACAAAGAATTATGTTGTATTTTTGTCCATATTGAATAGTACTTATCCAGCAATACCTTCCTTCCCAAATTGTGCTGAGGACACAGAAAGTAAATTAAGGGCTGCCTTCCCCTTAACTAAGTCAGGACAACGTGCTGCAAAGTCTTAAGAATGCTTTAGGTAATTGGTTTGGGGGAATCAAAGATTATAAAATTCATTTCTAATTATTTGTGTTTTTATATTTCTAGTGTAATATCATAAACCAAAAATGATGATTTCTTTAATATATTTGGGTTTATGGGACTGCCTTTTAGAAAAGTGCATCCCTAGAAAAGTTCATAATTATAGAACTTAATGGAAGTTATCAGGAAACTTGTAGAAGAAGAATGAACTTTTCTAACAGGCAGTCTTGTAAACCAAAATATTAATTTTAGGGAGTTTACTAAAATTTCTATTTCAAAAATGAGAAAACCCAGGTACAAAAAAGCTTCATGTCTTGCTCAAGGCCACACAGTCAATAAATGGAAGAACCAAGACTATCTCATGATTCAGTGACATTTTCAGGCAGCTGAAAAGAAAAGTGGCCTTGGAATGATGAGATCTGAATAAGACAGAGAATAGACAATCTTCAGCACAGTTCAAATATTCAGAGCTAAATAGCCTTATGTAATCACACATATTTGAACATCCTTTATGATTTTTAAATCATTTTTTTTCAAGGACAAATTTTCTTGAGGTTGTTCCCATTTTTAAATTAAAGGAAAAAGAAAGAGGAGGAAAACAGGAAAGAAGAAGATAAGTTAATTACCATTATGATACTGAACATAATTAATAATTTTATGCAAATCAATACATATTTTTAGAAAATAATTATGTTTAATGTAGCATATTTGGAAAAAGATGCTATGGTAAATTCTTACTGCTGAAGTCCTGAATATATTCAAGCCAATATTTCACATTTAACTGTATAGAGGCAGCTAGAGGTAAACCACTGTAAATAGAGCATATATGCTCAAACTTGATCTTATCCAACCTTCTGTATGGCTGTTTTCAAAGCTAAGGTAATAAAAACCTTAGCTCCATAAGGATCTGATTGTTATACACACAAAAGACTGTCTCTCTGGAACCAACAATGTCGGAGACAGAGGTCTCACAAAGAGGAAATCACGTACAATAATTACCTAGGCATGTAAAGGACTCTCTCGGCCACCACAAAACCCACCCTGAAGAAGAGATTGCTGGCTGGAATGAACGGGAACACCAGGAACAACAAGCCCACTAAAACTTCCTTGTGCTCCAGTCTCTGAAACACACAATAATGAAGGACAAATTAATTTTTAATTCTACTTCAGTCAGCATTTAACCGTCTCTTTCATTTTTAAATTCTCATTTTAAAAATGAATAGATTAGATCAATATAAACTTTTTGATCAATGTGCTGGATTTCACAGAGAAAGCCCACAGGCTAAAACTGCTGGCACGTCAAAACATTCACACATTTACCACCCAGAAACATGGGATATTGGCAAAATATGGTCAGTGACCATTGCCCGTTGTTCTGGGCTGGCCCCACAGCATCCCCGATTCTTGGTTCTGGCTCCTTTCAGAATTATCCTGGGCATCTCGTTTCCAGAGAGCAAAGCAGCTGGACAGAATCAAGCACACAGTGGCACCATGGAGAAT